TATTTAAAATCCAAATTATATACTTGCAAGATGGATGAGGGCTCGTCAATCCGGGAGTACATCAACAAGTTTGATAGGATCTTATCAGACTTGAAAGACATTGAGGTGATAGTGGAAGACGATGATCAGGCGCTTCTACTACTTCTATCTCTGCCGAAGTCTTATGAGAACCTGGTACAAACACTGATGCTTGTGGGTGATACTTTATCGATGGATGAAACTAGAACGGCGCTTTTAGCGGATGATCTTCGAAAAATTGCAACTAGTGATATGGTCACTGGTGGTAACAAAGAACAAGCGCAGGGACTGTTTGCCAGAGGAAGAGGCAATGAGCGAGGAAAAGGCAAGGGAGGAAAGTCTAGATCTAAATCGAGACCTCTTGCGGGACGAGCGTGTTTCAAATGCGGTGAAGTTGGGCATTTCAAGGTCGATTGTCCTAACAAGAGAGTAGGTGGGAAAAAGAAGAACAACAAGACTGAAAGACGAGAAGGCAAGGAAGAGGCGAGCTACGCTTCAGAGGATGGGAGCGATAAGGAATGTTATGTCGTCACGGATGGTGAGGATACCTCCGGGAAGTGGATTCTTGATTCTGGTTGCTCTTACCATATGTGTCCAAACAGAAAGTGGTTTACTACCTACAAGAGCATTGATGGTGGAACCGTATTGATGGGGAACAACCATGCTTGTAAAACGGTGGGGCTAGGTGATATCAAAATCAAGATGCATCCCTAACGGACGTGCGGCACGTTCCCGACTTGCGGAAGAATCTTATCTCAGTGGGTGCATTAGACTCCGGTGGCTGCAAGATTGTTACAGAGAACGGAGTAAAGAAGGTTGTTCGAGGTTCCCTAACAGTGATGAAGGGTGTTCGTCACGGTAATCTATATACTTTCTCGGGTACGACGGTGACGGGAGATGCAGCAGTTGGAGCTGAAGGAAGTGGTGGAGACCCATGTGAGCACATACGGTTATGGCATAGGCGGCTTGGGCACATGTCAGAGAAGGGTCTGGATCTGCTTGGTAAAGAGGATTTGCTGAAGAATCTGAAGAGGCCTTGCATGGATTTTTGTGAGGACTGTGTATGGAAAGGCGCACAGGGTTCAATTCCTGAGAAGCAAACACAAGAGCAGAGGGATACTAGATTATGTGCACACGGATATTTGGGGTCCGGCTTTGACAACTTCCAAGGGTGGTTCCAAATACTTTGTCTCATTCATAGATGATCATTCGAGGTATGCTTGGGTTTATTTCCTGAAGCATAAGAATGAGGTATTTGAGACATTCAAGAAGTGGAAGGCGATGGTTGAGAACAGGACGGGCAAGAAATTGAAGGCACTGAGATCTGACAACGGTACAGAGTACACAGATGGTGCCTTCAAGGAGTTCTGTGATCAGGAGGGTATTGCTAGACACTGGACAGTTAGATCTACACCACAGCAAAATGGGGTCGCGGAAAGACTGAACCGAACACTGCGGGAGAAAGCAGTGAGTATGCGATCATATGCTGGTTTGGGCAAAGAATGGTGGGCAGAATCGATTGCTACAGCTTGCTATATAGTGAATCGATCTCCACATTCAACATTGGATGGTGATACACCCTATCGGGTGTGGTCAGAGAAGCATGCAGATTATGAGAGGCTCCGAATCTTCGGGTGTACCGCCTACTATCACGTCAATGAGGGAAAGCTTGACGCGAGGGCCAAGAAGGTAATTTTCTTGGGGTATGCAAAGGGCGTAAAAGGCTACCGCCTTTGGTGTACAAAAGATTCGAAGTTCGTTATCAGCAGGGACGTTACCTTTGATGAGAAGTCCATGATTGCTAGGGTGCCCAAAGATGGTGGTGTTGAGACTGTTGGGACTCCCGAGTCCCAGGTTATTGAGATAGAACCTAAAGACCAACCAGGTTCTAGTCGTGTTCAAGTGAAAGATCGAGCTTGAACAGGAGGAGGTTCAGCAGGAGAATACACATGCACTACAACAACAGCAGCTCGAGGATAGTTTGGTTTCCACTAGGCCAAGGCGAGTATACAAGCAGGTACAGAAGCTGGGGGCTGATCAACCCCTGAAGCACTATGTGCATGTTAATTTGGTTGAATACGCACTCTCGGTGGAGGAAGATGAGCCGGTCTCCTTCAAGGAAGCTATTCGAGATAAGAATAGTGAGAATTGGTTGGCTGCGATGGAGGAGATGGAATCTCTCCGGAAGAACCAAACATGAGAGGTGGTCCCATTGCCCGTAGGAAAGAAAGCTATTGGTTGTAAGTGGCTATATAAAAGAAAGGAAGATCCTTCAGAGCTCGGTGGAACGAGGTACAAGGCGAGGCTAGTGGCTAAGGGGTTTGCACAAAGAGAGGGTGTGGATTACAATGAGATATTTTCTCCGGTGGTGAAACACACCTCTATTCGGGTGCTATTGAGTATTGTTGCTCATGGTGATCTTGAGCTGGAACAACTCGACGTCAAAACGGCCTTCTTGCACGGAGACTTGGATGAAGAGATCTATATGCATCAACCTGAGGGCTACAAGGTTGAGGATAAGGAGAATCATGTATGTCGCTTGAGGAAGTCACTCTATGGATTGAAGCAATCTCCTCGGCAGTGGTACAAGCGATTTGACTCCTTCATGCTGAAGCATGGGTTTTCCCGAAGCGACTATGATTGTTGTGTCTACATTCGAAAGCTTCGTGGAGGTGATTATATCTATCTCTTGTTATATGTGGATGACATGCTTATTGCATCGAAAAACAAGGTGGAGATAGATAAGCTGAAATCTCAACTTAGCAATGAGTTCGAGATGGACATGGGCGCTGCAAAGAAAATACTGGGTATGGAGATTAGAAAAGAGCGGGCGAATCGGCGATTGTTCTTAAGTCAGAAGGGCTACATAGAGCGGGTGATCGCGAGGTTCGGGATGCAAAGTGCAAAGTCAGTGGTGATCCCATTGGCTCCACACTTTAGGCTTTCAGGGAAACAATCTCCCACTACAGCGGAAGATAAGGCACACATGGATCGTGTCCCTTATGCTAGTGCAGTTGGCAGCTTAATGTATGCAATGGTGTGTACACGCCCTGATATTTCACAGGCGGTTAGTGTGGTCAGCAGATTCATGGCGAATCCGTGGTGTGTACACGCCCTGATATTTCACAGGCGGTTAGTGTGGTCAGCAGATTCATGGCGAATCCGGGAAGAGCGCACTGGGAAGCGGTGAAATGGGTCCTGAGGTACTTGAAATGTACCGCGGATACGGGTCTGTGTTTTGGTGGAGATACATGTCAGGTCGACGGGTATGTGGATTCAGATTATGCGGGCGATCTAGATAGACGACGATCTACTACTGGGTATGTATTCAGGATACATGGAGCTCCAGTTAGTTGGCGATCAATGTTGCAGGCTACAGTGGCACTTTCTACAACAGAGGCGAAGCATTGTGGCTATGGGGTCTTCTAGACCACTTGGGGATCGAGCAGGAAAGCGTGAACTTGTGGTGCGACAGTCAAAGTGCGATTCACTTGGCGAAGAATCAAGTTCACCATGCCCGTACCAAGCATATCGATGTCAGATATCATTTTGTGCGGGATGTCATAGAGGAAGGAGATATTTCTCTCATGAAGGTGCATATGAATGAGAATCCCGCGGACATGTTAACCAAGGTGGTCACAGGCAGCAAGTTCCAACATTGCTTGGACTTGCTTCATATCAGCCCGTGTTGATCTGCCCAAAGAGGGGATTGCCCTATGGGGCGTTGATGGAGGTGAGGTGGAGACTATGTCAGAGAATAATTGCAGAACTACGGTTAGCTTGATCCCGGTAGAGGGTACGTAGGCAGTCGCGGTATAGTGACGCAGCTGGTTTGGCCTGGATATCTCTCTGGTGGAGTTCGTGGGGTTCTTCTGCCAGCCCACAACATCACATCAGAGCTCGTGCTCGAGCTCTCATTTTTCTCCCGCGAGCGCCACTTCTTCTCCCGCCTGATTTTTTCGGTTCAGCCCCCTTTCCTCGCCTATAAATAGAGAGGTAGGGTGTAGAGGAAATAGTGTGGGGAAAATTGTGGGAAAAAAATTAAGTGGGTTTTGTGTGGAGTTTCTTTTGAGAGAAAAAAAAGAGTGAGTGAGAGAGAATTTGTAAGAATTTGGTATTCTCCTCATAGTGAAACCCCCCTCCCGTGGACGTAGGCTAGTTAGCCGAACCACGTAAATCTCGTGTTTGTATTTGTTTTATCTGTGAGTTGTCATAGATTGTAGGTTCCCTCAATATTCGGTCTTAGAGCTGATGAGAGGAAGAGTGTATATTTCACTTTGATGAAATATATCACTTTCGATTCTTGTTTCCTTTGAGAAATAAGAATTTCACTATCTATTCTCGTTTCCTTTGAGAAACAAGAATATAGAGGCTGACTTGTGCTTTTATGACAACAAAAGCCAGGGCTCTCTCTCAGGTGATATCGCTTCCGCGGCGGTGGGCGTGACTCAGCCCTAACAGTACTAGAAATCCAAAACCCAAAAATAACACAAACCCCTCCCTCCTTTTCATTTCTAGAGGACAGCGTACCCAAATTTCCATTGGGATCAAATTCTAACACCACATAATTCCCCATCTGCACCAGCCTCCACCCGTTCTTGACGCCTTTTGAGAAAAATAGATAACCCCCCCTACCCCACCCAAAAAAAACCCCCACCCCGAACCAAAAAAAAAAGGTAAAAAGAGAAAAAGAAATTTCTGTATCCGCTATTGTGCCTACGTACATACATACATATTTATTTGTTTATTTTAATGTCATTTCGTTATTTCAGTCTAATCTGGTTGTCTCCATGTTTTAGTTGCAAACCCCATATTTAGTTAAAGATGCGATATGAGAAAGAATATTGATTCATAAGAGCTTCTACTTGCTTTTATACTTCTAGTTTTATATTCAAAATCTTCATGAAGTCAAAGTTTAAAAGTGAACTTTATGGATTTGTAATTCATTTCGAGAACCTTACTAGCTCTCTTGGTGTTTCTAGCTAGTCAAGGAGCTATTTTATTGCTTACGAGTTCATCTCCTGTCGCAAGGCATGTGTTTCAAGCAGTGTTTGGCCACCAGAGTAGAGGCAAACAGCTGGTGAGTGCAAAGGGTTTGCTGATACACATTTGTTTCATCTTTACTGAAATTTTTGCTCTTTGATTTGAATATAAACTCTTGTCTAAGTTGATTCGTGTTTAGCATTTTTTTTATATGCCCAAGCCATTATTGTATCACAATTTCCAATCTAGAACTCTTGTTCAGTTATTTATGTTTTCTTTTTTCAGCTCTCTTATGATTTGTGACATAAGTACGAGTTCATAACCACAGAGCTGGACATGTCACTCTCTTTTCTGTATATATTAAGGAAAAAGTCTGGGATTTGAAGGCTTAATCCAGATCCAAACCCAGTAAATTGATCGCGTTTGAATTTTGTGTAGTTTGCTAAAAGTAAAATTTTCTGATTAGGTCTGTATATTGTTTAGCGGACTGCTTGAAACTCTTTTTCCTTGGATGTCTTCTGTATTTTAGGTCATATCAGTATGGGCTATGACAAAAATAATATGCAAGAAGGAGCATGCAAAATTAAAAGCAAATTTGTAATGCTTTAGCCAAGTTCTTATGTGATTAGATAAGTATTTCTTCATGAAAATCACTTGTCCCTGCACAATCATTATAATGATTTGATAAGATTTAGTATCTTGCATTTCACCATGCGAACCATGCAAGACCTTGTCTGTGATTTAATTTTAACTGATGGTTATATTTGGTTCTGGAAAATAGTTGTAATTGTTTCCCTATTATGTCTTGCTTTTTGGTGCATGTTTCTCTCGCTAGAAGTCAGTATCAACATGTTAGGGCTAATGGTGCTTTGCTTTCTGTGATCATAGTGCAGACAATATTTAGATCCATAGAGTGTTATGCTATGTAACATATTATTTTCAGGCTGCTTTGCATGCCCTTGGAGACATATGTGGAGCGAGCCGACCTGGAGACAGGATGTTGCTTAATAACGCTGCAGAGAAGTGCCTTAGGCAGTTATTTTATGCCGCAGCTGCAAATAGTCCAAAGATGACACCATCTGTTAGTGCCCTTTCTTGACTTACTCTATACAAACATATTTCATCTATACAAATTTCTAAGCAATCTACTAGTTGAAAGTTGTTCAATTAACAAATAATACTCAAGTTTATTTCTATGTCTCAGCTTTACTTCTAATTTATATTTTTCTATACTCGTAATTGTGACTCGATCCATTAGAGCCAAAGGGTTCTGTGTCGTAATTTGTTGGAGATCTAATTTTGTTGGCAGGGTTTGCTTCTGTGGGTGCTGCAACAGGAACCGGAAAAACGACAAGCTGTAAGCGCCTTTCCAATATTTAAATCTTTACAACTTTTTCAACTTCTCTATTGCCTTGCCCAAGTATGAGAAATGCCATAGTGCTGCTGTTATATTATGTCTACAGTTGTCTAGCTTTTCCTACTTTGCTCAACTTATTTGGGATTCTCTATTACAAACTGAAGCTTAACAAATGACTTGAACATTTTTTTTTATTTTATCCTATTGCATTCTTTGTAGTAAATTTGGTAATATTGATACCAATATTGATCAACTCTGTGAAGGTCAGTTGCTGTTGGATGAATTGTTCACTATTTAATCAGTGATGAATTCGTCACAATTTAATCTGTAGATTATTTTCAACCTGTATACATTGTTTTAAATATCCCTGAAATACTCGATATATCTAGCCAATATGTCCTTTTATAAGGCTTGCCGCAAAACAGTATGGTCTCAATATCCTTTACCATTTTTGGCAATATTTGGGCGATATATCCCTTATATGTCCTTTAATATAGCTTGTCACTAAACAATATAATTGTACAAAATTTCTTTTATGTTTTTTTAGTAAAGATTCCAGCCCTATGAAGCTTTTTAGAAAATTCCAGTTGATTGTTTAAAAATTCTAGTAGATTGTTTTCTCTAAATAAGTTTTGACAATTGGTTACTTGATCTTAAGCATATATTATTTACTTTTTTGTATGCTTACATTTTATTATGTCTCGATTACATTTTAGGACATTATATAATATATGTATACATATTAGATATTATTGATATTTAGATCTAGTAGATATTATGAGATATTATTGAGATATTATGGGATGTGAGTAGCTATGATTTTATCTCATACCTATTTTGTAATATCCTCCTAATCTATATTTAAGAGAGATTAATGTTAGATTAATGATAACTTTGCCTTCTTTATTTTTTTAACATGGTATCAAAGCCTACTCAATCCTAGAAACATCTCCCATCTTTCTAGATCTTGTAGCCGTCGAGGGGGTTTTGCATGACTTTCATAGCGGCTTCGACAACATCTTCGGCTTTGACCACTTCCGTTTCGACTTTGGCTTCGACGACATCTTTGACATACAACATCTCTAACTTCTACAGTCGATTCCTAAACCTTCATTGAACCTTTTTTTTTTTAATACTGTTCATTTTGAACAGTACTCTTACCCTACCGCCTTCTTGGTGAGGCCTGATCCTTTTTCGGTCAAAACTTCACTCTTCTCCTTTTTGCAAGGTGCTTCACTCTTCTCTTTTTTGCAAGGTGCATTGATTTTATCGTCTTTCCCGTCAAAGGACGTCAAAATCAAGATTAAGCGGGCAATGGATCAATCATATGTTCTGTTTTCTGTTTTTTGGTTTTTTGTTGCTTTACTGGCTACTCACTTAGGGTTTCTACTTACCGACCCGCTTAGGGTTTCTACTGGCTTACCCGCCTAGGGTTTCTTCTAGCTTACTAGACTAGGATTTCTATTGGCTTTCCCACCTAGGGGTTTCTACTGGTTGTGACTGTAATTTTTTTGAATGCTGACGTCTTCAAGTATTCCAAGCAAAGATGACAAAGCTCTTGCAACTAGCTATATTATTCCCATTTGTAACAAGGTGGACATATCTAGTGTATATGCTCCAGCTTAAAAGTGTGTGTTAGATATTATTGGTATTTAGATCTAGTAGATATTATGAGATGTGATTAGATATGATTTTATCTCATACTTATTTTGTAATATCCTCATAATCTTTATTTAAGAGATATTAGGATTAGATGAGTAATAATTTTGCCTTCTCTATGTTTCTACATTACAGAACATCTAATGTGACACTCTGATATTTATTATATATCCTCAATATTTCCCGATATCCGCAATCCTATATGATTTTGGTCATTAGATATTTCCCCGACATCCAATATTTATGACCTTGCTTGTATAACATTGCTTATATAAATTTTCTATTTTATTAATACTATGCACTAGGACAATAACTGTTAAGTCTTTCTAGATGTGCTTGTGAATGTGCACAAACTTTGCCTCATCACCTTATGTTTTGATTAACAAATTGATTACAGGGTTACAGATTGATATCTGCACTAGTAGCTCGTCCTTGGGGCTTGATGGAGGTTTGCTCAAAGCAGGAAATCATAACAATCGTTACAGATGCAAACATTGAGGACACAAAATTTGGTTTGCTTCTTTTGTCTCCATATGACTTAATTGCTTTTTAATTGTGTTTTCATTTTGGTAGTTTTCTCTTAAATATTTGTTATCCTCTTTAAAAATAGTAGTTTGATGTGATTATCTACCTACTATATATTTTTAAAACAATTTCAGGCATGGAGGCGCGCTTTAATTGTTGTGCAGCCATTAACAATGCTTTATCAGCTTCGAATATGCTTCATGATGCCAGCATAGCTGAAGTAGCTGCAAAGGTATGCGCATTCATTCAACAATGGAATAGCTTCATAAATGCTGCAAAATTTGTGATTATAAGAAACCGATGGACTTAAAATTCTTGTGTTCTCAGTTGCAGGATGCTGTTAGAAGAGGTCCCTATCTCGCTAAGAAGCGCATCGAAGCGCAGCCTGTCGTGGTAACTGCTGATAGATTCTGATGGTGTTTGATTTCGCTTGTGTTAGGTTTTTTTTTCCTCCCATCCTTCGTCGTGTAATGTTTAGAGGAATAGGAATTTGAAATCGAGATGTCATGCAAGAATGTAATGTGAAAATCTCTCTTAACAGCAATTATAGATGATGAAAATTTCAGTGTCTAGACCATATATATCATAATTTCACTATTTATATCCGTGCGTGTGTTTTGACAAATAAATACACATCAAATAAGCGTTATATTAGTTAACTGATTTATATGCAATGCTAATTGGATGTCGATTCCTCCCTTTTGAATGGCTCGCGTAGGCCTTTGTTCCGTCTTAAATTGCAGCCTGAGCTTTGGTGTATTCTTTAACACCGGATCTCTTTATTGACTAGCGGTCTGATATCGGTTATTAGTCAGTCTTTTCGAAGTAAGATGGATTTTAAATATTGCTTGAATGTTTAAAGTAATTAAGTGTTGTTACGGCTTTCTACTCAAATCCCCTATTCTTCCTACTTTCCACTGTTCTTTCTTTTTCACGTAAACTTTTCACAACACTGCATCATCTCTCTTAAGTTGGGAGACTTTTAATGGCAAACTATCCTAAACAAAAACTTTTAATAATAATTTGGTTAATGTCAAACTGGTCAAGAAAGCTTATGGAAATTACTTATTTGGTAATTTAGCTGTACACATGGTGAATCAAGGTGAACGCTTTTTATCATTATATTTTATCTCCAAGCTTAATGGCAAGCTTGAGTCATTTCGTGATATTCTATAGGATTTGAAGCTGAGTCATTTTGCGATATTCTATAGGATTTGACAACTGAATATACAATTTCCAAGATTTGAGCGACTAATATACAAGAAAACCCCCTATATTTTATGAAAAACACTACAGGCACACTCTCCACCATACCCCCTCTCCTACTACAGTGCATGGGGGGCCACCTGAGATTTTTTAAAAAATCTCAGATGGGCCCCCTGTACTGTAGCAGGAGAGGGGGTGTGGTGAAGAGTGTGGTGGAGAGTGTGCATGTAGTGCCACTCATATTTTATCTCCAAGCTTAACAAAAGTTTGAGTCATCTTCGTAACGGGCTGGAGTTAGAGTTGGGTATGGTGGGCCGTGGGCCGTTTCAAAATAAGCTCCGGACGGTCTTCAAATTCTAAACCGCTAAATCCGCCCTCGGGTTGGATTCGGGTTTGGCTTCTCAAACCCAACCCGATTCGCACCAAGTTACAAATTGCTGCCCCAGAAAAAGTGAATAGACTGGGAGCCCGACTTTAAACTGGTTCGGGTTATGCTGTGTGTGGATCCGGCCCGTTCAATCACCTCCTCTACTTTCGCGCCCGCTCTCATCCTCTCCGTACGAGTGCGATATTTACCATAATTAAATTGTGCCACGTCAAATCAAAATCATTTCATTAACTTTTCAAATATCCCTCTAACTTCAAAAGTCTCCCTCTATCTCCCCCTCTAAAAAAGAAGCCCTAAAATTCTCTGTAGGGACTTTGGGTTTCAGTTTGATTTCAGTTAAGTCCCTTTTCATCACATACGAAAATTTGTTAACGAGTTTCTTGCTAATTCTCTTATTCAGATTTACTTCTGTTTTCACTCCGTAATTTTGACGATTTCTTCAGTATTGCTCTTTATGTTAGTTTCATATGTGATTATTTGGGTTTTTTTTTCTTTTTCCTCCCATCTGTTGACTTTTGTTGATGGGCAATCTCCAATTTGTTAACTTGCTTATTGATTCTCGACAAGTTACGAATTTTGATACAGAATCTAAGTTGGGTGCCCTTGGAGGTTAGAAAGTCGAAATCTTTTTAGACTATAACTAAATAGGAGCGCCTTTTCCTAGTTGCGCAAACAGATGTTGGAGGTTAATTTCTGTGTTATTTGAATGTTTCACGCATTGTAGTCATTTGGGCTGTAGATCACAATGTGTAGATTGCTGACGGTAAAATAAACATAACAAACACATAATGTGATTGTGTGTAGTTGGCATCAAGCTCAAATTTTTAGATACACGGTATTCCTCATGCTCGAGCGATATACATTCTCTCCAGTGTCTCTACCTAAATATGCGAACTTTAATGCATCATATCTACTTTCCCATTTCAGCCGCTGTGTTTCTGGTGTGGTAAAAGATGGTAAGAAAAATAAAACCACAGCTGTATAGTAATTTGTTATTATTTTCTTCTTGTCTTTCACCCACCTGCGAATAGAAACGAGCCTTTCCATAAAGATTCTGATTTCTCAAGACTCGTTGTACCAATTTCATTGACCACTAACAGCTGTGCTTGGAGCCAATTGAAATTAGGTGATGGAGAAAGTCACAATGAAAGTAGGGAGAGGAACATATTGTCATAGACTACTTAGTATGTTTTTTCATGCAAAAACTTATAGGGATTTGATTGAGATTGAGCAGATACCTGAAAGAGCCATTCAGCCAGCAACATGAGAGTACAGCTGGTGACATTGCAAGTCAAAGATTACTTGTGGTTTCAATAGATGTACAGATGTTATTTTAGACTGGATATGTCCTGTTTGTAGTGATAGTCTTTTTCTATAAGTTAAATTTATGTGGAGGGAAAGATGCACGTACATGTGCAAGCACAATCAAGCATGCACACAATATTAGTGACTGGGTGAGGGAAGGCGGAAGTTATTTTCTAGGCTACACTCGATAGCAATAATATTTGAAGTTGAATGTTGAAACTTAAAAATATATTTTTGCGACTTAAGTGAGGTAAAAACCCGATGACAACTCAAAATTGGCATATATCACAAACAAAAATATTTTTAGGTTTTGCTTATGTATGGAGTTGTGCTAATTAAGCTTTCTTCAACAACAAGTTGTGTAGGACTCTTCATTTGTTTCCTCAATTTGGTCCCTGAACGTTTCATGTTAAGATCAATATAAGTGGTTCAGATTCTCAAGATGACATACTTTAGAGAATGATTTGGTTCAATAGGCTATCATAAGCCATTAGTGTTTTAAGGTGTTGATGTGTGTATAGAAATGTTCAAATTGTACTTTGATTAAAGGTTGTTAATTCATATTGAGGAGACCTTGTTATGCATAAGATTATCCTACATGATATATACACATACAATTGGTTAACAAGTTAAAGACAACCCACCAACAATAGCGTATGGATAGAGTATGAAGGCAAGCGTGTGGATAGAGTTATTGAGGCTGCGATTGTGGCACAACTGTTTACAGTAAGATCTAACACCCCCATCAAACTCATGGTGGATTGAAACTGAGAGTTTAGTTACAAAATAGTGGAACTGAGGAAAAGTTTGTGCCTTGGCAAACAAATCCGTCACTTGTTCCTTGTAGCGAACATACAAGAGTGTAATATTTCTAGCAATATGCTTTTATCAAACCACATGACAATCTACCTCAATACACTTGGTATGCTCATGGAACACTGAGTTTGCAGAAATGGAGATGGCACTTTGATTGTCATGGTGTGGAATGATGGAAGAAGTAGCAGAGACCAAGATCTTGTATAAGAGTGCGGAGCTATTGTAGCTCAATCATAGTAGATAACGTCGCCTGATACTTTTACTTTGTACTAGAATGAGAAACAACAGCTTTACACTTACTATGCTAAGAGACAGACGATTCCAGAAGATTTCAAAAGTCAGTGGTGGCGCATCGAGTGTTTAGATCATCGGCCCATTTAGCATCACTGTGTGCGCGAATTGACAAAGAAGAGTCTGATGGAAATAACAATAATAGGGATATAGTGCCATGAAGAGAACAGAGAACTCAAACTAGAGCCGCATACTGAGTAGAAGGTACATGTACTAAGCGTACATGTGTAGTAGTGAAGATATGAGCCTCGATAAAAGTTGGTGAGGGACAAGTTGGTGAGAGATGTAATATATGTTAATATCCCTCTCCTCCCATCAAACTCACGGTGGATTGGAAATTATGAGTTTGGATAAAGTGTTAGAATTACAAAAGATGAGTGTTTGAGCCTCGATGAAGGAGTCTGAGTGGCGATGAAATTGATTACACATGATGGAATCCAAGAGTATTAATAAAGAGAAAATTATACAACTGTATGATCGATGACATCGGATAGGAATTCAGGGGCATCGATGGAGAACTCAATATTGATGAGATAAACATCGAGCAATATGAATCATTGTACATCAACGAAGAAATTCTTTGTGATGACGAGAATGAACAACAAGGGATAAGAATTCTTGTACATCAACAGAGAAGATATTAATGATCGATGTTGGGGCTATGAAGAGGAGGAGCTTGTCACGAAGAAAATCTCAATGGTTGATATTGATGCCGTGTAGAAGATGTTTCGTATGAAAGAAAAAGACACGAGTCAAAGTCGAAATACCGGATGAGATGACAATGGACTTTTAAGAAATTGCTAACATGATAAAAGAGCTTGACAACGAAGACCAATAGGCGTGATGGTGTTCGATGGAATGTCAACGAGAAGTTCCATGGTTAAAATAGTAGGATTTGTGGTGGATGAGGTTAGTAAAGAAAATACATCTGAACACATGATTAAATTAGGATATCAAGAAGATGGGTCTTCACGTAGGTGATTTGAGACTTATTGGAGTAGAGTGCTCACGTGGGTCTAGGAAGAGCACAAAAGTCTATACCATAGCTAGGTAATATAATACTTACCCAAATCCAAGACAAAGACTAGCCACAACCTTCAGAATACCATAATAAGATTAAAGATTAAAAGGAGCAAGTACAGCTCTTTATTGAGGCAAGGACCAGATTTGTTGGCTATTGTAATTAGGCCATAGTGTACTAGTGTTGCTGAGTTATCTAGGAATTAGGAGATTAGTGTCGTTTAGGGCTAAGAATAAAAAGAGCCTCGAGATCAACATCGTTCTTAACCCTTTTTTTCTTCTGCTTCAACTGCTTGAAAGCTGAATCATCGAGATCCTAAGAGAGGATGATCTCGCCGCAGCGATGAGGATCAAATTGAAGTGAGATTTGCTGGGGCGAGTTTTGGATCTCGGCTAAAGGATTGATGGAGATGACGATAACTTTGAGTCCTTCCCCCCTCTTGGCGGTGATT